TTAAGGAGTCCTAAACTAAGATAGGAAAACTTTTCTATGATTCTCTATTGTTATTTAGATTATGTCAGCTATTATTATATTCAAACATATACATATTGTGTTGATTAAATAATCACGCAAACATTTCTCCTTTTCTACTTCACCTATTTACGCTAAGGTGTTCTTGACCCAGAATTGGATGCTCCATGCACATCAATTGCCTACTGTGGATCACTTACAAACACCAATAGTTGGCCGTCTAATATAAACATTTATTCTAGTAACAATATTATAAATTCACTGACTATGGGAACTAATTCAAAACGACTCTTCACTAATAATGATAGAACCGTTATTGTTGGTACTAAAAATGGTGATATATGTACTGTGGATATGCGAAATCCAAAAGTATTGCATAAATTCTCAGCTCATGATGCACCAATAAGAACATTATGTATTGATTCAGCAACTGATTGTTTAGTTACTGGTGGAGCGGATGGAATCGTTAAAGTATGTTTAATAGATTGTTTGTTGATATTCAACTATCTCTTATTGTGTGAATTTGATTAAATGATATAAATCCATGAGAAAAATGAGTTTAGTACTGTAATCGTTTGTACTCGGAATCATACAGTAAACTCGAAATATTACTAAATTCAGCTTTCGATGGTGAAATGTAATCGACAAGAAATATTGCGCTACTTGCCATATGGCCAGGCATATGTGCTATCTTGATAGAACTGATACCTTGCCGTGAGATTCGGACTCACATCAATAAGTGTTATAAGTTACAGGCAGTACCACTGAGCTTTGTGCTCATGGTCCTGGTTTCCCAAAACCACTCTCAAACCAGTTTGCTTTTTAGTTCCATTGAACAGAAGTAGCCTATCATGGTGTGCGGAATCAGGAGACGACCACCGCTCTCACACACACACTTTTGGCAATACTCCAGATCACCTTATTAACGACCAAGCACTTGCATAACTTGTTAATTTTGCTTCTATCCCCATTATAAACGCTTCTCACGTGACTTTATATTTATCTTCACATACCACTAGTTATCGATAAATAAGCTTTCCGGAGTCTATGTTGCTAATAACTGGTCAGATAGGCTGACATGCTTCTGAACTATCAAAAACAAAATAACCACATCCTAGTTCCAGATCGTATTGATAATTTGTTTGAAAACCAGTATAATGGATGGTTTAAAATATTTTTTTCTCTCAGGTATACTACGGTAATACGTTAATACGATGATGAGACTAGTCACGTTATATCAGATCCAAGATTCATGACTCAGAATAGAGAGCCAGATTAACACTAAATAATACCTTATTCCATACAATTACAAGCAGTTACACTTAGTGAGTCCGGAGTAGAAATCGATAAGTGGGAAGGAAAGCACATATTTAATAGTCAGTAGGCGAAGTGTTTGGTTGTCCACGCTCAGTGCCCAATCATATTTTGATTTCACTTACACATGTTAAAAACGAAATCTAAGCACAGTGCTTTTTGCCCTACAACTAGAAACTACTTAACCAAGTTAGTAGTATATTACAATTTCATTAGTTAAACGTCAAATTTTTACTTATTCTTTCAGATATGGAGGCTATCTGAACGAGAATTATTAACTAGTTTCTGTGGTGACCTGCACCCAAGTCGTGGTGCAGCAGCTGTCGCTGCCGCCGCTTTATTCAGAGGCAATCAATCAGCAGCTATAATTGCTGCTACTAATCCAGGCATTTCAGATATTCGTCTATTGCCGACGGTTACAGGAGCAGCATTGATTCATGTCAATAACAGTAATAATAGTAATGACAGTAATTCTACTAAAACTAATGATTGTTCGATAAATCTAAGTAACCAAATGCCTATTGCACACTCTTCTCATGATCAAAAATGCTCAATGACTGCCGCATCAACAGCTTGTCGATTTTTAAGTTGTGGTGCTGACGGTGGGCTACGTATGCGTTCGTTGGTTGTTCGACCAAAACCTTCCATAGTTTGTTAACGGAAGAATCAGATAGAAGAATGAAAAACACAAAGCATAATATTATATACTTCATATTATTTATCTTACTTATCATTTATTGAAAGCATTCCATGCTACTTATTGTTATACTTACTTATGATCATACGATCTGGCTACACTTTTCATCTATTTATGTGCGTGTGTGCATTGTTATCCTTAAAGTTTAACCGAATAAACTAAATTATCTATGCACCGAATATCACCTTAGTTGTTTTAAAAAATAATAAAAACATTCTGCAATTTTATGATGACTAATGATGATAATTAGAAAATGAATTCTGTATAGTAAGCTAGAAGAAAGCCATGGGGCTGCCTGATCAAAACATGTTAACGATATACTGACTGTTAAACCGAGTCGAGTTGGTGGGTACTGACTACCAGGTCAGGATCTGCGTGATTATCGTAGTCAATAAGTGGCATGAGTCAAAATCGCTCGCCAAAGCGCAGACTTATATATTATTTACTCTCCCCTTGATCTTGAGATCTAAAATTCTATTTTCTATTCTACAATTTTGTTCTTTTTCTTTGGATAACATTTTTATAGCTAGTCTTTCATATTTCCATTTCAAATACTCTGGTATTTATCTTGATAATTCCATTTAACTATGTTGATCTAGTGTAACAATTCGAACCCACCGTATATTTGCCAGGTTCTTGCTAATGTTTGAAACGATTACAAGTTCACCTAGTCTGCGAATGGAACTAAGAGTCCATGATCAAAGACCAATAAGCTAGATATTCTGATGCATCCCGACTCCGCTAACTAGAGAGAGAAGTCGAAGTCTGGAACGGGGAAGTATATTCCACAAGTATCCAGAAGCACGAGCGATCCAGACCCATCTAGTCGGAAATCCACTACACTCATTTATATATTGGTTTGTACACCCATTTTTAATTAATAATCAGAATAAATGATATATATGAAAAAAATAATTCATACAAGAATGTTGTATGTTATACAGAATAAAATGTCATGGGGGAAAGCGAAACTAATACTATACTGAAAGATCATCAAATTGAATTAAACGGAATAAATATCAAATAATAAAATCATAATGAGCAAGTCAATTTAATATTGGCCTTTCACCCCATCATAAAAGTTCTACGTTTCATATAACTGATTTTTGAGTCGAAGTATGTATCCATCATATCTACTTCCATTTAATCTGTGCAACTTTGAAAAAAAAACAAATTTTCCTTTCAAGTTTCAAACTAGGTCATCTTTCAGCACCGAAATGAGAGAGGTTATTATTAGGAAGAGACCTAGCGATACGCTAGTAACTTTGACAATAATGTAATAAATACAATGACTAACTAGTTGGTAATTATGCTGTATCAACCTCAACTAATAGAGCTTGATGTCATCCATCGGATATTTCACATAATATTGTGATCCCATGTATTTGTGTTTAAAAAAAGTCTTATTTCAACAGCTGTAGTAAAATATTCCTAACTAATGTATATTAACCCCATGTTTGCACTAAAAATTAGTATATCAAAAGCAAAGAATTTGGTATCATAACATCAGTGACCGTAGTGAAAGACCAAACATAAAAAATATACTTTAAAAGTAACGGACAAGGTCGTGGGACAGAATACAAAAATGGAAGATAAAGGATGAAGGCAACTGCGTCAAAGCAATCCCACCTCCAGTTATGCCACCGAAGTCTTCTATCATGTATAATAAAAAATTAGATTTACGAAGGCAACTGGTATTCTACGTATCAACACATAAACTATATCTAGTGTCGCTTCAATTAAATTTAATTAATTCTAATCCCTACATTATATCCAATTTCTTAATTTATTTACCAAGGAAGTATTGTTTTACCACAATAAGAATGTAACTCTTCAACCATCAAAGTATGTAACAACGATTCAGAATAATGATAAACAAGTAACAAAGTAATCAGAAGATGAAGGCCAATAAGTTAATTATATTATTATAAAAGGCTTTAGGTGGTCGGAGGCAGTCGATCGTAAACTGTGTACTTAGTCCTCGTGCTACACTTGTCAGCAAGTGATACGACGAGGTAAGAGTTAAGCCTGATAGTTAGGCACTAATTCTATTGAAATTAATGACCTATAGTTGCCACATCCCTTAACCGTTCAATGACTTCTAAACATTTTAATCTTTGTATCCAAAATTTAGTCACTAAACCAAACCACAACAAACACCTTCGTACATGTGATAAGATCACTAAGAAAACGATATTCAAACTAGGTACATACGATGTAAAGCAAACGCAATATATCCGTATTGACTAATCAAGATGTACAGACCAAAGTGTAGAATGAACATAGTTTCTCCATGATCTACATCAAAGCACCATTAAGTAAAAAACAGTATTATGAATGTCATCGATTGTTTTACTATTTACGACATCATGGTCGGTATATGCATATCAAAATTGCGTCACAAGTCATAGAAGTGTTGACATAAGAATGATACATATTGTGAATTATTCACCGAACAAAGGTAGACGCCTAAGTGGATAATTTATGTTAGTCACTATATAGAAGCTCCCGAATGCCGTGATACAGCCAAGGGTAGGAAGAGTTAGTTTCCCCTCTCGAAATGCTCTCACATGGCCACGCGTATACAACCACTGTCAAGGAAGTACTATTCACTGCCTTCTCATGGAAAGGGTGTTGCTTAAGAAAGTGAGAGGACAAAAGGCAAATAGTTGATACTTTAACCGGGTTGGGGGATATAGAGAATCCATCTAAGAGAGTTAGAAAACGCTGATTCCAAACCAATGATGCATATGGGATCCAGGATCCTAAGGAAACAAAAGGCGTATAAACCTACTGTTAGTCACCGGTTACCTTGGGACTGGATCTCCTAATGTTGCCCCCGCCTTGTGGATTAGACTTCTAGGCTAATGACTCAAGGAGTCGCCCCTTATGAAAACTACCTGTTTCTGCTTGGGCATCCATGCAGTATTCCAGTCCTCACATAAATCGAATGATTTATGTGGCGCATATCTATTTGGTGCCTCCTTGTACTAATGTTTGTGTTTAAATATACAAAAAAAAATAAATAAAAAGTACAGAATACTTTTAGATTATATTGTTCAGTTTTAAGATTTCAGAATATTTATCTTCTTATTCAGTTTAATTAAGAGTTGGCCTCGAGAATAGAGGCGCAGAACATATCATACATGTGAAAATCTTATCCCGAAGTGTATTTATCAAAAGCATACAAAAGAGACGTTAATCACTAAGGTTTAATGTATATATATATGTACATGGATTATTGAAAAAAACTTATCAGCAACCTTAAAAAATATTTCATATCATATAAATTCAGTCATCATTTTGTCATACATAAAAACGAATCAACGTTCGGAACAAGAAAAGATAAGTAGATAGTAAAATACTATGACTCCTAAACCTAAGTATTGTTTTCTCTTCATTAGCACACTATAGAAAATTAGTAGATACATGTCATTTCTGCATTTGAGAAGAACGAAACAGATCGAAGAAGGCATACATGGAATTTAGATGTGAACAAACTAATGAGAGAATCATTAACAACGGATGGCAGTTCCTATAGCCATAAACATGCCAAATGTACCTCCACCTTGAAACATGCCTTTGCCAACCGTTTGAATTAATTCACGTCCACGTAAACCATATCTACAAGAAATATAGACAAAAATCTTCAGTATACATCGTTAACATAGATTTTTCATAGGTTCCGACAGTAAAATCATGAACGTGTGTTCCATATTATCCCCAACAATCATAGCCAAAGTTTATTATTATTATCTAAGCACATAAACATTGGTAGAACGAGGCACCAAATACATATGCGCCACACAAATCGAACGATTTGTGTGAGGGCTGGAATACTGCACGGGTGCCCAAACCAAAGTAGGTGGTTTTCTTAGGGAGCCACAACCCGAGCCTTTGACCTAAAGGTCTAATCCACAAGGCGGTGGAGCAACGTTAGGAGATGCAGTCTTATGGCGGCCGGTGACCAACAGTAGGTTCATACACCATATTTCTCCTCAAGATTCAGGAGCCCATGTGCACTATTGGTTTGGAATCAAGGTTTTCTAACTCTTTTAGGTGGATCCTTAGTATCCACCAACCTAGTTAAAGCTCCGGACATTCGCTTTTGATCCTTTCAATTTCGTAAACAACCCCCGGCCCGGATAAGGCAGCGAGTAGGACTTCCCTGGCAGTAGTTATGTCAGAGCATTTTGAGAGAGAACGAACTCTCTCCACTCTCGGCCGTCCAGGGCATTTGTACCTGGTAAGTGCATTAGTAAAAGTTTTTAAATATGGCGTTAGCCCGAACGGAACGAACTAGCAAGATAAGTAGCATGAGAAAGAATAGAGCATTCAAACCAAGATACGATTATGAATAAATGTAGGTAGGTATGCCAATTTCCTTCCACTCAAAGATGTGAGAAGAGAACTTTACGATTTTTATTTGCCAAGGCATGAGGTGGTATAAATTATATGATGGTATTCTGGGAAACTAGCGTTTTAGTAAGTTTATTCTAGTCTAATTTTCCAGGAAACTAGAGAAAATTTTTTATTCCATGAAAATTTCAGTGATAAACATCAATAACAGTAGAGGATTTGGTTTTGAAAAACCTTACCTTAAACAACTGAATCCGCCGAATATAGCACCAGTCGCTACACCAACGCAGAACCCCATTAAAAATCCAAACTTTACTTTGGCTAAACATGATGGTTGGGAAACTCCCCCATATGTATTTGGAGCAATCGGCATCGCTACGAGTATATGATCTACGAGAAAAATTTGTACTAAGTATTATTGCTTGAAAAAAGTAAGTAATAAAGTATTACCAGAAAACCCCAACAAAGCGTTCAAATTTCTTTCATAAGGTTTACTGAATTCGAGAAGACCGTGGACAAGCACAGACTTAAAATAAATATAACCCCTAACCCCATGGGGTTAGTTATGCATTATCCTAATCTATCTCTATCATAATAAATCAACCTGAGAGGATTGGTTAGATTTAGATTTATAGACTTAGATTCCATTCATGGGGGTCTGAAATTGATTTGAATTTAAGATTTAATCATAAGTTGTATCACGAAAGATACGTCTGATGGAATCCTTAGTTTAGTGGGTATTTTTCAGGATCAAAAGGGTAAGAGACTGTTTTTACATAAATCAAGGGATATTTACGCATCCAAGCTCACCAACCTACAGCTTATTGGGGCAAGAGCTAATCCGACGTGAGAACAATGTGGATCAGTAACCCTCAAAAGTCAAACTTCCCCGTTCTTCAGTATCCAATACCTTTCAGTTTCAGTTTGGAAAGGACAGGAGGCTTGATGGCCTGTGTTAGTGTTGGCAATGGTGTTCTCTCAGTTGATCCAACTTTCTTTTGAAAGAATCTACGGATGGAGCTTCAACCACGTGTCGAGGTAATGAATTCCACTCGTTGATGATTCGGTGGGGAAGTCGATAATCAGCTGACAAGTACTTTGTTCTGTGCTTGTGAACTTTTTCGGAGTGCCCTCGTAAATTCTCTGTTTTGGAAGACAAGAAAAATGAGGGCATATCGGATGCAAATTTATCACTAAGCAATTTGAAAATTGTAATCAAGTCGCCTCTAGTTCTACGATATGACAAAGGGAATATGTTTAGCTTGGCCAGTCGAGCATCATGCGGAAGCTTTGCTATTCCGGGAATCAGCTTAGTTGCTGTTCTTTGGAACTTTTCCAAAAGCTCACTGTCTTTTTTTAAGCAGGAGCTAGCCGCTTGTATGCAGTACTCAAGTTTAGGACGTACGAACACTGTATACAAAGTCAAAAAGGTTTTAGCGTCGACATGAGTAAAATCCCTACTTATTGTCCATAAAGTTCTGAAAGCTTTGGTGGCTTTTGCATGGCTGTGTGCAGTAGTTTTTAGATCTTGGCTAACGATGACTCCTAATTCATTATGTGTCTGGACAACAGGTAGCTGTGGTGTTTGAATGAACTAATGATTGCTTTGTACTTGTTGAATGCCTGATTTCGAATTCTAAATACAATACATTCGTTAGTGCTTGTGTAGTACTTCTTGACTCAAATGCGTTATTTCTGGGATTCTTAGTTCATACTATAATTCAATTACTCCTAATTATCATATTGGTGTCGCCATGGGGCCTGCGATGGAACAGTTAGATATTCATTCGGATTTTGATGCTTATGAGGATTACTTTGAAAGGATCGAAATCTGGGCTATGACCAAGGAAGATGATGAGAATATTAATATTGTGTCACATCTCACATTCATCGGAAAAGAAGCATATAGCTTATTAAAAGTTTTGGCTTTACCGGAAAAGCCCATTTCTCTTCCTTATACAACTCTCAAGGAACTACTTCTAGACTATGCTTAGTATACGAATTTCGAATGCAGTAAAGGGCGATTTCGTAAAATGATTCATGATGATATGAAAAATTCCCAGAGTCGGCAAATAATGCACGACGAGGAATTCTCTGGGACGATATTCGTAGAACATGTCCAAGCCACCGAAGTCGGTGTTTCAAGATGGTGACACCAATTTCATTATCGTCTCTGTGACCGAACACTCGATGCCGAACCTCTGCATTACTGACATGGTGTTGCCACTGGATGCCAGCAATCCTTCTGAGACAGCGATAATTGAAAACAGAAAGTTGTCTAACATCCTCAACTCGGAGATACCATGCTTCACAAGCATGGAGCAAAACTGCTCTCACCGTCGCGTTGTAGATCCGACCTTTTACAGCCAGACTAACATCACGGAGGCGCCAAAGATGGCCCAGATTGGCACAAGCCGCTCTGGCTTTCACTATACGTGCATTGATCTCATCACTCACACCACCACAAGCACTTATGCGGCTACCTACATACACGAACTGCGACTACTTCTATATGCTCACCATCCAGAGTGAGTACAGGATTAGAATCCTGCCAGTCTTGTAGAAGTACTTTGCACTTCGAAGGTGCAAAGCACATGCCATACCTACGGACACTGACTGCCAACTGATTAAGTGTGGATTGCATGACTTGGGCATTCTCGCACAGTAAGACAATATCATCCGCATACTCAAGGTCGAGAAGTCTTTCCCCAGGCAACAGATCAACACCACCATTATTTACATCCATCAGAGCTGTTTCCAGAATGTCATCGACGGCAAAGTTGAAGAGGGATGGTGAGATTGGGCAACCCTGTCTAACCCCACTTCGTGGATGGAACAATGGAGAGAGGTGGTTGTATGCCCTCACTATGCCTGAGATGTTTGTATATAGGGCGTTTCGGATGTTAATAAACTTCTCAGACACACCCTTCTTCAATAGACAATCCCAGAGAACAGTTCTGTCCAACGAATCGAAGGCAGCCCTGATATCAAGAAACACTACGATTGTTGGCCTTTGATAAGTATGACGGTGTTCTAACATTTGGCGGAGGGTGAAGATATGATCAATACATCCTCGACCGGAACGAAACCCAGCCTGCTCCTCGCGAGTCAATCCTTCTGGGGTTTTGAACAACCTACGAAGTATGACGGAAGCCAATAGCTCGGAATTAGACTTATTACCCTGATAGTTGTTACTATCGACTCATTCCATGACGTTGGTACACTCTCTAGTTCCCAGACCTTTGTAAACAACGTCGTCAGTCCCTTAGTCAGAAAGTCACCACCATCTTTAAAAAGAACCGGAGGTAAGTCATCTGGGCCCGGTGATTTGCAACGTTTCAAGAGTTGGAGTTCCTTGCGGACTTCCGCCTCATTTGGTGGATCAGTCGTCACCGGCCATGGAGGGCAGGACAGTCTGATCGGTGTTGTCGGGGCAACAGGCCAGTTGAACTGCCCTTCAAAGAATTCTGCCCATCGTCCAAGACGTCGATGGATGTTAATGATTGGCGTTCCGTCATCCTCGCAGATTGTTTCGCTCACACCAGACTTCTTGCTGCCAGTGGCTCGGATGAGTTGAAAGAGCTTCCGGTAATTACCAGATGCAGCTGCTGCTTCCAGCTCATTAGCACGCTCCGACCACCAGGCTTCTCGGTCCTTACGCAAGCTTTGCCCGATTTCATTACGTAACATCCTTCGTCTGTGGTCAAACTCACGGTCACCCAGAGTAGACCCACGGGCTTCAGTGAGTTGTAAGGAACCAGAAGAAACCCAGTGCTTGTAAGCGGGACGTTTCGCGAACCCACAACAAACTGTACCCGCCATTTTCATGACGTCATGCAATTGCAACCAATGCTCATCTATGCTTTTCGGTGGAATGGTAGCTAGCCTAGAAACTAGCTCGGTTCTGTACTTACTAGCAACAGAAGTTGCAGACCAGGGCATGATCAGATTCCAGATAGGTACTCCGAAAGAAGCGGCAGTCCTGTACACAACCACGCCTGCGGTAGCTGATCGTGATGTGATCAATCTGAGTCCAGGCTTGAGATGCAGAAGGGGGACGCCAGGTGGCACATCAGCGATGACTGTGCCGGAAGTTAGTGCTAGCCAGAAACAGGTTGTGGTCTGTGCATAGTTGCAGCAGACGTTCCCCGTTATCTGTCCTGCGACCAACGAGTCCCCATCGGCCACCTAAACGACTCTCTTCAGTGCCTAGACGCCCGACCAGAGCATTCAAGTCTCCGGCTAGTACTACAATATCTGTCGAACGCACTATCTGGAGAAGAACAGATAACTGGTGGTAGAATTCATCCTTGATTGCATCCGGGCTGCAATCTGTCGGGGCATAGGCGGAGATGACGAAAAGACATCGTTTCTCACGCCGATTTCTTCTCACTTTGATGGAACTTTCTAATCTAACAGCACATAACCGACTGTTAATGGGGATCCAGTCGACTAGTGCTGCCTCAGCTCTTGCGCTTAGTGCGACACTCAACGCCAGCAAGACCAGACGAAGATGCCACAGGATCCCCGGATAAACGCACATAAAACAAGCTTTTTGAAGCGACAGATGAAGAGCAAACTTGTAGTACTTCACCAGAGTCTTGAATACGGGTCTCGGATAGACAACACACGTCAATATTAAGAATTTCCAAAGACAGCCAGCCCTATCTGTTGTCCGACCTGCATAAGTGTGCGAACGTTGAAGGCAGCCAGTTTGAATGGTGCACGTGGTTTCAGAAAAACTGCTTCAATACTCGTATTCGGTGGTAACATACAATTTTCAACCAGGCAGTGACTCGAGAACGTTTAGATAAAGCTGAATTTTTACCATAGGCGAGCTGCTGTCTGAATTGAAACGGATACAAAAAGTAGAAATAGGAGATAGTGAATAAATGACGTAGTAAATAATAATAATGATAATAATAATAATAATAATACCAGTCATTTCAATGTTAGTCGGAGAGAAACGAATATTTTCCATAAGCAGATAGTTCACCATGGTTTTAGTGTGTGGGCTGAGATACTGCCCGGGTGCCCAAACCGAAGCAGGTGGTTTTCTTAGGGGGCCACACCCCGAGCCTTCGACCTAAAAGTCTAGTCCACAAGGCGGTGGAGCATCGTGAGGAGATGCAGTCCCATGGAAGCCGGTGACCAAAAGTTGGTTCATACGCCATTTGTTCCCGCAGGATACTGGAGCCAGCCCATGTGCACCATTGATTTGGGATCCGGTTATAGCGCCGGACGTTCGCTTTTCGTCCTCTCATTTTCGTAAACAACACCCCCGCCACGAGAAGGCAGTGAGTAGGACTTCCCTGACAGAGGCTGTATACGCGTGGCCTTGTGAGAGTATTTCGAGAGGGAGGGCGAACCCTCGGCCATACCAGGGCATTTGGGGGCATCATGTAAATTTTATAATTGTAAGTGCTTTAAATGTGATGGCATTGGACATATTCAGTCAGTTTGTAATTCTAATCCTAATAAGTTGAGTATTTATAATGATCATTTATCTTTATCAATGATTTCAAAAGACAATTTAGAGTTCTATAGCAGTTCACAGTTAAATGAAACTCAGAATCCTTCCAAGACAACAATTCCTAATCAATCAACCTATCAGATTTCCCATGTTATTGTATCAGATATGATTTTTCCTAATGATTCACATATTTCTGATGAAATTTCTTACAAATGTGGTGAAAATATTTCGGATGAACCTAATCGTGATCGAAAAACTGATGTAGTTTTAATTGATGCTGATTTTTCTAATGATCCTTTACTCTGCAATGACATTCTTAATAAATTTGAGGAAACTATTTCAGAAGAATCAAATCTTGGTGTCATATCAAATATTATCTGTCCTCATGATGCATTTGTTTCTTGTGAGAAACTTGTTCGATGCGTAGCACGAGTATTAAATGAATTAGAGTTTGATTACAATTCAGATAATTCCATATCAACTGTTGTTTGTCCTTATCATAAATTCACTTCCAATGTTTACTCTAGTCAAATTGAGAGAGATGTTTTAAATGAAGCCGCATTATTCATAACTTGGCGATATGAAGATCCGACATTATTTCGTGGGGGAGGATAGTCTATGGTTCATATTCTAGGTAGCTGTTTCAGTATTCAACCGGCA